TACAATATTAAACCTCAGGATACTCAAACATTATCGGATATACATATGTATCTACTACTTCAAGTATTGTCAAAAAACTAATCAAAAAGATTTCAATAAAAAATTTAGATACATATTTAAAATTAAACCAGACCTTTTCCCCGCGTTTTTTTGTTCGAAACTATTAAGATTAGGACCAAAATTGAGAAACTGTTTAGGAATTATTATTCTTATTTAGAAAACGTACTTACATATACATACATATGTATCTTACTTAAAATGTATGATCATTCTGCCGCACCTATAATCTGCAGCTCGCTTTCCATTCTCACAGTACAATTCAATTAGGAATTTCTTTAATTCCTTATAGTCCAGTTCTATGCAGAAATATACATATGAAAGCGTTTTCTATTTCGATAAAATTAATTTTATTAATTTTTAATTTTTTGACATTTTTTCAACTGATTCCAAGAAGTTGTTTCGGAACTAGTATGCGTTCCATTGAACTAATGTAGTAGCAATGTATAACTAGTTTCAAAGAAGTAGTTCCTTGAAAACTATTTTGAAGTATTTAAGGACCATATCAACGTTCCGAGGAACGGGTTCCAGAAGTAATGGTGACACCACTAGTTCCAAGGTTGTTGTTTAAGAATCTGAAGTGGTTCCGTTTGCACTCGTTCTAGAACTAGTTGTTTTTAGAACAAGTTCTGAAATTTTTCCTGGGTAGAAGAAAATATTTATTAAATTAATTATAATAAAAAAATAATCATATTTTTTACACACATTTCAAGAAATTTATTCGAGTGCCAAAGCTATCCATTCCTGTTATATACATACATGCGTGTTAAAACTATTAAACAAAATCGACAAATTTATTTAATTATTGAAATTTGTATTTTATGACCGCTACCATTATTACTATTTATTATTTGTTTGCTTGTTTATTTGTTTAAAATAAATATCTAAAATATTTATTCTACTCTTGAAATTTTATATGGTTTCCGAAATAAATTTTAATTTAATTGAATAAGTTTTTATTTCCAAGTTTGTTCAGTTATTAGTTTGATACTTTGATTATGTTTTCAAGTGTCCTTTATTTATTGAGTGTCCTTAACGAAAGTAGTACTTTGTGCTTTTTCTAAAAATATACTGTTATATTTTATTTTTTATCGAAGATAATCTAATGAGCAAATGTATGGTTATGTACAATACATACATACATATCTTTTTATATGAGATTTATGTTATAAATCGGTTGTTATCTATACATACAAATATACTTATATAAAAGAGTCGCGTTATTGACTGATTGATCGTCGCACAGCCTAAACGTTTGAATCTATAATCTAGAGAAGTTCGAATTTTTAGGGGGTAAAAAGGGTTAAAATCAGTAATTCCAGAAACAACAAAAGTGTTACATTTGTCGTTGTTTATTCAAAAAAATATGCGGACGGCTGTCTGTTACTTTTTCGTATTGTATTTTGGTACTATTTTTGGCCTTATGTATTTTTAAACCTCTGAACATAGAACATATCACATTTGAACGGGAGCAATGAGGACGACGCCAACGAATGTCCTACTAATTATAATGAACTGGTTGCCAGCTGACCTGATGGCGATTCAATTGGCCCTAAATTCTGCAATCTTACTAAACGTATGTGGTTCGTGGTCTGGCAATAAAGGCATAGGGCATACACGAATAATAAAACGCTTCGAATACTTGTATCTTTGCGAAACCTCATTTCGACAGACGCTTCCATATCCGAGTTCCTGCTAGGAATTCAGTACCCGAGTCCCACTCAACTATTAGTGTAACAAATGTTTACACTGACGGCTCCAAGAGGAGTGGAAGGGTTGGTGTTGGCTTTTACATTGAAAAATTTTGAATCAGACCCTCTTTTAGGCTACCTAATTATTGTAGTTTTTTACCGGCAGAGACTGGCTGAGTCGTGATATATGTACATAAACGGACAGCAAAGCTGCTATCAGAAATCTAGCGGGTATCTTTACGACATCTAGGTTAACTGAAGAATGCCGGGTATCACTGAATGAAATAGCGAGTCATTGCCAGGAATGGTGGGATGCGAGGGGAATATAAAATCGACGCATTTACTGGTACCTCCCTTACAAACTGTATGTCACTTGTTCAGAATATATGAAACCGCTCAAATCAGATGGTTCAGCGAAACTACCTGTCTCACTTCGAGGTTAAGCTTTCGCAGGAAATAGATAAGAATACTGGTAACAGTCATAACGGGACACTGTGCAATTGGCAATCACGACAGAATAATAGGTCTCGAATATAGAAACTCCTGTAAGATGTAATAATGAGGAGGAAGAGGAAACAATACCTCACCTCTACTGCTACTGCCTGTCATTCAATGGAAACAGATAACATTGTTTCGTCTTTGGTGCTCTATCTGGTTTGGATGAGCTATCTTGGATATGCCTTCAAATTATCTTAAACTTTGTGAATCAAACCGGTTGGTTTAAATCTGGAAGTAGTGAGTGGACTCCTACGACCTATAGTGCATCACAACGGGACCGCAATTGGGTGGACCCATGTGAGCTACTCATGATTGACTGAGTGGCTACCCTTTTTATCTAAACCTAAATACAAAGGGAAAAAGTTATTTTTTGTTTTTGCATGTGCTAGTTAGAAAAAATATGCTTTTAAATGTTTGGTTATGATTAAAGACGTGACAGTAATAATTTAGATAAATAAAAAGTCATAAAAATAATTTTATGTTACAAAACGATATCAAACAGCGTATGTTATTGTATGACCACGTGAATTAGACGAAAAATAATAAAAAAATACTATCAAAATGAGTCTAGTATTAAAAAAATATATAAAGCAAAATATTGTTTTGTCAATTGATACAATGCGAGAACAAATAAATACATAAATACTTAAGTAAACAAAAACAAACCTATTTTTCATTTAAAAGTAAGCGGACCCACAGAAATTTTGACATAAATAAAAAAATATATATATTTGGTATTCAACAGCTTTTATCTGAAGTTGTTATTTGTTTATTTTCAAAATTTATTTGTTTTTAACTTTTTGCTCTTTTTTTTTTTTTTTTGGTTTTTTATTTGTATTTTGTTTAAGGTAATTCCAGGTGCTATACAACGAAATGAAATGTATACATACAGCACGGTACAAAGCACATTAGTCTTTATAGTTCTTCTTGATTTGTTTTCGTTTTATATTTTTTATATAATAATAAACATTGCGGTTACTTATCAAAATATTTAATAATTTGTTTTTTCTTCTTTTTGTCGTTCTTTTTGTTTTCTTTTTTCTTGTACAATATTTTAAGCCAAATTGAAGAAACAATATTTGTATTTGCTGATTATTGTTGAGCGATAATGTCATCAAATATTGAGACAAATTATGTTTGAAATTTATTGTTATTTAAAAATATGAGTTATGTGGTCATAAGAAATCATTGACGTTTGAAAATTGGTCTGATATGTTAGAATTTTAATTTACAATTGCAAATTAGTAATCTTTGGGACATGATTTGACTTCCCATTTAAGTGCACATCCATTCGGAGACCATAAGTACTACTGTGATTCCCTTCATAGAGAGTGAATATCTAAAGATAAAGAAACAAAACACTAGAAGTAAACAAAAAAGAATGAAAATAGGTAGAGATGAGAATTAAATTGAAACAGCTCTAGTTCCTAAAGAAAGGAATGTGAGATAATCATAATCACACTACAAATGTCTAATTCATGGAACCTATTCCCCAAGCGTTTTAACCTGAGATTCTGTGTTCAAGGATGGTAACTTGATTGTCTCTTGTTCCTCTGCATCTTCTCATAACCTGCAATAGTTTTGTTTATTACTCTCCCACTTACTGACAAAGGCCCTAATTGAGTAATGCCCCATTAGCATCCCTATCAGAATCCTTTTACTATCCAATGTCTATCCAGTCCTATAAGTATCTGGGTAGCCCTCACATAATGTGTTGGCCATAAAGACTTTGATATTTTGCAATCCATTCTACTATTCCAGGACGGATTGATGATACCACGGATTCTCTCGAATAATAACCTATAATGGTGACAGAAGGTACGAATCTTATCTATCTAGGTCGTCGCAACCTCATTACCATGCACATTGCAGTAATCAGTTACATAATGTTCTTAAATGCATTTCTACATTCTACAACTGGCGAGAATGTACCATGTGACAATGCTCTGAGAGCAGCTTGACTATCGAGATCGCTAGAAACTCTGCTTGGAAGACACTACATTCGTTAGGTAGTCTGAAGGATGGTTTCATGTCGGTATAAGTGACATGGTATCCATCTTGGACCCGTAAGTGAAAACTGCACTATCAAACAGTCTTTCGAATACAAGCCAATCCTCCCCAGTAGGAAATTCTATCAGAGGTGTAGATATGTCCTTAAAAGTAGATTTACTTTGAATAGAAATCACTTAAGCGTTGTACTCTTTTTGATATTTCCTAAAATAAGCAAATATCGTGAAAAAGTGTAGAATAAATAGGATTTCCAGTACTCAAAATTTTGAGAGGTTTTTTTAATTTTCTGATTAATTCTGACTATTTCTAGCCAAAAGCTGTCAAACTGAAGAATACGGGAATATACTTTTATATCTCTCTGTAAATTGAAATTGTAATCGATAACTTTTAATTTGAATTATTGATTAAATATTATTTTTCAACTTCCGTTTGACCTATTGAATTATTATTATACATATGTATGTATGGGTAAAATAAATGTCAAATAATATGTACTTTAAAATTAAATAAGTAACATGATGCTGTTTAAATATCTTCTATTGACTTAGAAATTTTAATAAAATTGGAAAAGGTTTTCTTTGACGATGAAACTGTCTGAATGGAAAATTTATTAAAATTTATTTGCTTAACAAAGTAGGATATCTACACATTTTACATATTATCTTTCTTTTTTTATCGATTAACTTGATTTTTTTCTTATAAAATAACATTATTAAAATTTCTTCTATTTTCTCTATTTTACAGTTTGTATGGTTAAAAGTATTTCGGAAATTGCTGAATTGTATATAACGTCATGTCAAAAGCACAACACAAAACCATTGCAATCAATATTGGACCATTTAAAGGCAGTGGATCTTACCAAACAATTGAGGCGACAACCACTACTATCACTGAAGTCAATCAAATTGGCGCCAAGTGATTGTGAAGCATTAGAAGAAGTATTAAAAAGGGTAAGTTAAGAACAGAAAAAGTAGAAATAGTATGAAAAAAAGTTTTATATTATAAACTATATATTAAACTGGAAAAAAAGACCAGACAAAAAGTTAGACGCATAGACGTAATCATCATAATATTGTCGTCTTGGAAATGGAATTTTTTTTGTACAACATTTGAAGGATAATCATTTGTTATTGTCGGTGTGTGTGTATGACTATATGTCAACACCCTAAAATATTTTTGTATACAACATGATGATGTAAATACAAAATATAGAGTAATTGATACAAAAACAAAATATAGTCATGACCTAAAAATATAAGAAAATGACAAACTTAAGAACTAAATTTCTTATTTCTTATTACTTCATAACTACTGAGTGTGATTTTCTTTCAATGTTGTCATTAGAAAATGCAAATACAAAAAAAAAAAAAAAAAAAAAAAAAAATAATAATTTGAAATTTGTAGCTTAGAAGGTGATTAGTATGGAAATTATAAAAAACACCTAATTTTTTGTAACTTATAATCTTATTTTGTTTATGGATATTTTTAAAGTGTAAAAATATATAAAGGACAGCAAAAAAGACCAAATTTTTTCTTTTAATTTAATTTTTTGAAAACCTACGGTTTCCACAATTTATTTAAATTTTTTGTAGCTTTTTTATAATTTTATTAACATATTCATTTTAGAAGTGTAAAAATAAATTTCGAGATCCCCTTTAATTTCTTATTGCATACATTTGTACATATTATTTTTTGCACCCGTTAATAAATGGCAAAAAATGTGTCAAATTTAATCAAAATTCAGCACGAGATATGGTTGTTTAAAAAATGTATTCTTTTTAGATTTCTCACTTTTTATTTGAAGATTAGCGATCAACACGTTTAAGTTATGTATTAGAATTTATTTTATTGTGTATACAATTTTTTTGTACTAACAATATTTGCAAATAAACAATTATAAATATCCATTTATAATTTTTTTTCGTACGCTGTCAAAACTTAGATAAGATAATGTGTTTTGGTTATAGCTCGTTAACTATTAATGTACTCATAACATAATTTATATTAATTTAATTCAAAAAGTATTTTGAAGTGAGAAATTTATATCAGTTTTAACTTTAAATAAATTACATATCGATTATTTTCCTTTTTATTACAACAAAGTTTCAAAGCTTTTTACACCAAAGTTTACATGTTTTTTGTGAGAAAGTTTAAACTAGATAACAATAATAACGAGGAAAATTAATCCTATAATTAATTATTAATTATCGAAAGTCCGCCAATTTAATGTTAATTTTCATTTATATTTTCACAACATCCTGCGAAAAGAGAGCTGGTTCTTTTTACCAATCGATTTAGGAAAAAAATAGAATTACATAGGATAGATGACGTCGATTTATGTTTAATAAAGTTTTTAATAGAACTAAGTATTTAGGTACCTTCCCCGATAGCAAACTTACATGGCGGAAAAGTTCTCTGAAGGAAATGAAGAAAGGGTTCAACGTCTACTATAGGTTCAAGAATTCCATCGGAAAGAATTGTAGCCTGCAACCAGATATGGCGAACTTGATTTACACATCGGTTGCTAAGACTATTCTTACTTATAGATGATTTATATGGATGGAATAGTAAAATGGAATGCAAAGTTTAAGGCCTTGTATCCAAGATTTGATTTAACGGCAACCAAGATTATGAGATTTCAATTAGAGTTAGAAAAATACTATACTGGACTACTGCAGATTATGCGAGGAAGTTGAGGAACTTGAACCGATTGAGCAGCAAACAATTTGTCATTGTACTACAAAACAGTGGTTATTGCTGAATGCAATCCATGCAATAGGTTAGGATTTATCAGGAAAATAAGCTAAGTTTTCGATTTTAAACTGTATCGAGAGTTTTGATATCCTCTTATATTTCCATTGCATACACATTTCCTGAAAATGATGACTAAGAACGTATGGAATTTCCTTACTCACTGTCTCTTCTTTGTGTATTTTCAAAAGACAGATTAAATGTCTTTTGATCTGGATAAAGGGTATCACAATGTAAAACAGCCGCCTTCGAATGGAGTTGCTCTTGCATACTCCTTCTGACCCTTAACCAAAAAACCAAATAATCGAGAAGTCAAATACAGAATTAGAAGATTGATTTTTATATAATCACTGATCTTTAAGTAATTCTTAATTCAGTTACTTTTAATATTATTTATAAAAATATCGAATTATACATTAATATATATAATTAATCTGTTTTTAATATCATAATTTCAGGTGCAGTACAAATCAATAGATCTCTCCGATTGTAAATTGGACGAAGCGGCGGCCAGTGCCCTTTTTGATATGATTGAATATTATGAGGCTGCACATGAATTAGACATTTCGTCAAATGCCGCTGGCATGACACATCGAAGTTGGATATCATGCACTTATATGATAAGTCACAGTCAGGAACTGCAGGTGCTAAATGCAGAAGGCAATCCAATATCAAAACTAAGTGCAGATCTTTTAGGAAATGCTTTAAGTACTTCCAATTTGCATACGTTAAAATTAGAACATTGTGGTTTAAAAGGGGCACCGTTGAGCGGTTTGTGTAAGTAATATTGATTAACTTTTTCTTATGAAATTCAGTAATTTATTTAAATATTTTAATAAATTAATGATCTACAGGTTATAAACTTTTCCACAATAAAGTTCTAAAAGAACTTTGGCTGGCACATAACGATTTAGATTGCCATGATGCTGATACAATAGCGGGAATGCTGAAATGTAATCATTATATAGAGCTAATCGATATAAGCAATAATAATATAAGGGACGAGGGTTTGCGTCACATAGTTAAGGCTTTGATTATGCAATCCATTGAGATGGAACGACGAACAACATTTCAACGTACAGCTGCCATAGACGATGATGGTGATGGTGAATGTATGTCGCCAGTTGAATCCTCTCCTCCTGTGGATCTTGCGGACAAAGGTGATAATGCGACATTAGATTGGAATGCCAAAAAGGACCAACAACCAAATGAAACACAGTCATTGAAAGCGACATCAAAAAGCAGTGATTTAGTTAGTGAGAGTAACATGTGTAAGGAAACACCGTCTATCTTGCCATCAATTGAAGAAAAAGTGAAAGGTGTCGCAGTAGAAACGGGGAGTGATGATGTCGTACATGAACAACATAAAGTGAAACCTCCATTAATATCATCTGTTGGATCGACAATCGATGAAAATGATGGCGATGAAGATACTGATGACACAGTACGTTCCAGTACGATTAGAAACCCATTGCAAAGCACCAGTGGCGGTCAATCCATGCTTGATAAACTTTTATCGATGAACAGTGAAAGCAGTAGCGAAGACGGCGCATCCAACTTATCCACAGACACCTTAGCCGCCTGTAATTCTGAAGATGCTAGTTTAATTAGTGATGAAATATTCGATTCTGCTGCTACCACTACAACAAGTACAAGTACAAATACAAAAGCTCCAACAAACACCTTAGGCTTGGAAGTAACATCTCTAAGTGAGGGTACAGTGACGTTGACTAGTGCCATTGTAAATCCAACAAGTACTGCATCCTCAGAAGGTAATAAAGATGGAAAAGAAATAGCGATAGTTTTTCAAAATTCTCCTCGAGAATGTCCGTTTATCGCTGGTAACAATGTCACACTGGATGAGACAAATGTAGTTTTAGTTAATTCTCCCGTCAACTTGAGTAATACAGCAAATATTCAAAATACGCTAGTAATTAATAATAATAACAACAACAATAATAACAATAATTCAACCCCCCAAACAATCAATATGCCATTATCCTCTACACATACATCGTGTTCACCCGCCTTCTCAAATATTGCCAACGATCAAAATGTAGCAAGATCGGGTGTGTTTGAAGTGACTGCAGAGGAGAGCGACTGTCTTGTGAGTGGTGGAAGTGTATCTCGAGTGGCGGTTGGTGATGACGTCGACATGCGTACGGGGGACCACTCAAATGTGATGCAACATCATGCTGCCAGCCGAGCTTTGGATGTTAACAAGAATACAAAACTGGGAGAGGATTTCGATGACACCCACAGTACGGACTCCGCATTCGAAAGTGCCTCGGAAGGTGATATTAGTCGTCATCTGCCGGAAGAATTTACCCGCCTATCTACATCGCTTGAAAGTACACGATTCGATGAAATTGCCAAAGAGTTGGCTATTGAGACAGCCACAATTGCATCGGAATCCAACGAATGCCTTATAGCGGCCGCAGCTCAAGTGACGCCATCATCCACACCTACCCCACCAACTCCACCTTTCACCAATCTTTCAACGCCTTTAACAGAAAGAGAACGTCTGGCAGCCGATTCGCCTATTAATTCTTGCCTTTCTTCTTCGCTGCCCACTGTTACGACAACAACACCTCCCACGGTTCAAGTAGGCTTTGTTACTTTGGAAGAGCCTACGGAACCTCAAGTTACAACTGCGAATGAAGTTCGCGATAAAATACCAAAGGTGACAATTGCTCAGGAAAGCCTTACACAGAAGTACAAATCGAATAGTACAATATGTACTAGCCCCAGTCCCACACCTACACCACCGCCACCATCCACATCCCCGGGCGGAGCAAGCAGTGGTTTACGGCGTACAGAATCCAACTGCGGATTTTTGACCCAGTCTTCTCGCAATCGGTCTCAAAGCACAGATAGTCTGTGCAGCGACAATTCGTTGGATGGCAGTATAGGCAGTGGCGACTTAAATTTTTCATCCTCATCCAACCTTAACGAAAAAATTACTAAAAACGATACACTAACGCGGCAGCAACGGCCTATGGACGCTACGCCAGAGCTTGGCACAAGAACACCAGGCGGCCTAAAGGCACTGGCAGTCTGGAACAACAACTTAACAAAGGAATCTGGCCTCTACATCTCAGACTTACTAGCGGAAACTGTCTCGCTAGAACTGCTCAATATTGGCAAGAATTGTCTGTCAAATGACTTCGTAACTACAATAAAGGAAAGTCTTACAAAAAATACTACATTAACCACTCTGGGCCTACAGAGCGCCCACCTCAGTGCCAAAGGTATAGAGACGCTATCGTCCATTCTAACGTTCGGTGGGAACAGCACCCTGCAACGAATCGACATACGCGACAACAAGTTAGAAGTGGAAAGTCTTACAAAAATAGCCGAAGTTTTAAAATCGAATACCACCGTAACGCAAATTGACATTGACGATGAGCCCAAACGTCTCTCCGTGGGTAGTGAAGCCCATTTAGACTATGCACGCGTCTTAGAAAATGTACGATCGATGTGTTCCCGCAATGAAAAAACACAAGCTCAAATCCAACAGGAAAAATCTGCGGCAAATGTAATGGGCAAGAGACGAGGAGGTTATTACCTTGGATCGCGAAAGATATCATTAACTTGCCAAAGCCGACCGGTTGTGGATACGACGAAAAATGTTGTAGTTTCTGTGTCTAATAGCAAATTAGATATTAAACGCAAAACCGGTACAAGATTGCGCTCCCCAGTACCCAGTCCAACTACAATATCTCCATCGTCGTCACCAAATCGTGCTAGTAGGTTTCAAGTTTTTCGGGTGCCAGAAGCCAGCCCACTAACATCGCCAAATACACAAAAACCGATTGGCAACAGTCTTGTTGCCGCAAAGGCTGTTTCTATGAGTAGCGCAGCTATACCATTATCCTCAGCAACGGAAAGAGGAGGTAATGATCCTATTTATCAAAACATTACATCTACCTCGCTACCAACATCCTGTTCGCTACCATCAATGGCAACAATTTCGTCATCGACGCAATCTATTAAGCGATTGTCGGTTTCACCACGTTCACGTTTCCTAGTGCGTAAAGTATACGAAGATCCTAATCTACCCTTGACCAGTCGCTTTACCCAACCCATAACACCTCCAATTAATCCTCCACCAACGCCCATATCGCGAAATGCTAAAGAGTCATTAACGGGATATTTAGAGACTACGCCACCCACACAATCGCATAAACGTACAGATGAACGGCGGCAGGATTCACTCATTAGTGGTAGTAGTAGTATTACGACAGCAGCACAAGTTACACCCCCAACAACATTTGTTACGCCGCCGCCCACCATAATTACGCCACAGCAAGAGTTCAATACTACCACCGAAACATCTGCAACAATAAATACTACACCTATTTTGAAATTGCATCGGGACACTTCTGCAATGAAAACACCAGCGGAAGCAGAAATATCATCAGGAACAAGAACAACAACCACAATACAACAATGTGAGCAAAGTACAAATAATACAATAACAAATGACAACAACATTACCAATCAGACACAAACTTCAACAACAACACCGGCACCATTATCAACGACTCCAGTAACAGTACCAATAAGTTCCAATAACCTACAGCCTTCACCATCGCTCCTCTCCACATTATCCTCCTCTTCTGACTCATCTACGTCATCTTCATCATCGTCCTCTTCCTCTACTTCTCCTGCTAGTAACACAGATAGCTCAGACTCATCTATATCACCAGTATCATCGGTTCATTCTAATGAAGCATTAAGCAAACAGCAACAACATGACCTAACTGGATCTGGCCAATGCCCAATTGCAGTGTTCAGTGACAATGACATTACGTTAACCAAAAATACTGTTAATGAGGTGTTTGGTCCAGTTGCTGCCGCAGCCGCCGCTGCTGCAGCCAGAGAAAATATTGGCAATATTGTTGAAACGTCAAACGAAAATATAATGCAACCTGCTGCACAGCAACAGGAACCACAACAGCAACAACAACGCGTACGTAAAGTATCCTGGATTTCAAATCCAACAGCAGTTGATAAACTGTTGACATTATTTCACAATCCAACTACCATCTTTCAGCGTAGCTCATCGCCAGAGTCAAAACCACCAGTAGCATCATCGACAACAAATACAGCGGCCACACAATTGAGCCAGTGTAAGTACTATTTTGAGTTTTTGTTTTTAAATTTTGCCACTGTTCTCCAAGATGAGTGACAAAATCTAAATCTAATAGTTTACAATGATTTGTCAAACATTTCATTATAGATTTCTAGAAAGCAGATTATGGTTTTTTTAAATCTCTTTTCTTTTTTCTTATTTTTAGCACCACCAACATATGCAGAAGCTGCAGCAGCCGCGGTTTTAGCTGCACAGCAGCAACAAAAGTCACAAACGAGTCTAGTACCTTTGCGAAAGCAATCCCCACCATCATGGACGAAACTTGGCAATGATATTATAACAGCAGCTGCTACAAACAACGTAGATTTGGCCAATACTGTAGCAACAACAGCAGCAGCAGTTGTAACCGAACAATCAAGATCATTTTTCGATGCCGCAAAACAATTGCGCGACTTTAGCAAACAAGTATTTCGTCAAAATCTATCATTTGGCAATGAACCAGTAACCACAGCGTCTACCAGTAGCACAACAATGACCACAGCCTCAGCACTTAATGTTCAACCGACAGCCAGCGAAAGTAACAGCGGAATGTTGTTAGGGCGGGCCGGCGAGTACTGCGGTTGTGGTTGTGTTGGCACAGCAACTGGATGTTTGTGTGGCACTATGCTAACCACTGAATGTAATGCGGATTGTATACCCACCGATGTTAAGCAGGAGATAAAAGAGAATATATCGCCTGAACATACAATTAACGAAGAAACCTTGCATAAAATGCAAAAATTATATGGCAGCAGTGCTGCTATAACTACCGCAGCAGCAACAATTAATTTTGAGCCAAATGATGATAATAATGAAACAACTATTATTGACTCACCAGCAACTGCAGCAGCAGTAACTCCACCACCGCCTACAACCACAACACAAATACAACATTCAACTGTCGCAGCAACAAGTGGCATTGAAAGTGAATTACCTGCGCACAATACTTAAACAAACAACAGCAACAACAATATGAATACAACATTATTAAATTGTGAATACAATAGTGTTGCATTAAAATGGCACTACTATACGTTTTTTTGTATGTGCTGAAGGTGCAAACTCGTATTCAAACACAAACACACACACACAAATATAAATATAAATACCGTTCGTTCTACCACCCTACACCAACCTAAATCTTACTTTGTTGCCTTGTTGTAAGTTGTTTATTATTAAATTATTAATTTTGTTATATATTTTTTTTTAAACTAATCCCCACACCTATCGCCCCTGCCCCTACACCCTCTTTATTTAATATTTTTTTGTTTGTTTTATAGTTATAATAATTAATTTTTTCGTTATGAATTTGCTACACACAACTATATATATTTTTTTTTGTTAATTTTAAGTTTTTTTTTTTTTTTTATTTTAATATTTTTATTTCTTATTTTTTGTTTTAATCATACTTGTATGTATAAATAAATAATTATTATGGTCTTTATTATCAGAATATGTCGTCTACTACTACCATAACTACCTAGCTAGTTTAGTTTAAGCCACTTTTTATAATAATTATATTGTTTTCATTATAATTTTTTTTTCTTATTCAGTAATTGTGAATTTGTTTCTGTCGTAATCGTATCTAATTAAGTGTGATATTTAGCTAAATAGTTAAACAAAAATCATTAACCAACAAAATATATACATATACAAAAAATAAAAAAACAGTAACAGTGGAATTTGCTAAACTTAGGAATGTAAATTACAAGTCAAGATACATATACCTACAGATGTATGTAGATAGTTAGAGTTATAGACAAAGATTAGACATTATCAGCTGCAGTAAAGTTCAAAATAATGAGGCAATGTTTTTGTTTACTTTTAAGATACAATTTAATGCTTTAACATACTTTGTTAGCGTTTATGAATAGGATGAAGAATGTGCACGTTAATAAGCAGAATTTAACTATTTTTTTTAATAATTATTTGTACTTAAAAAATAATTAATTGTTTCTAATATAGAGAAAATATACAACTATTTATATCTAAACGCTTCAAAAGTACTTATCATACACTTTTTGTATAAAATTTAGATAATGCGTTTCTTTTTACTAATGTTCTAATTTTAATTGAATGAAAACACATTTTGAGTGGTTATTTTGTAACTGGTTTCGAAAACAATTTCATTTTATAGGTTATGCTTTAAGCATTGACTTTCGAAAGTGTTTTCTTTCGAATCGAAACACTCAATACATACCCATTTTTAAAAGATATTTACTTAAACAAGTTTTTCATGTTATTTTGTGCCATTTAAAACAAATTTTTAACCCAGAGATCAAAATGTATTTTTCTAAATGATTATGCTGCGCTAAATCCGAATCTTTATTTTAATGTTTACAGAATGGACTTTCGGATGGCATAACAACATTTTATAAATAAAATTGGACCAAAATGGCGTTTTTTCAAACTTCAGGACGCAATATCTTAAATCTGAGGTCTGATTCAGGTTCAGCGGGGCTTAATCCTTAGATAAATATAACTTGATCTTAGGGTTTCTACTTTTTTCAAAAGTATGTACATTGTGATCAAAAACATTGCCTTGTTTATATATTTTATGTACAAAACAAACATTAGATTGGCTGCTCTAGACAAATAGACGGCTCAAAGCTAAATGTGTGAGAACTCTACACAAACAAACAAAACAGCAAATAAAACAAAGATTAAAACAAAACTGTAATAAAAGCAACATAAGGCTCACTTAACAAATTTAATTACAAATAAAAAAGAATAATTACACAACAATACAATTTAATAGAAATTAAATAATAACTCAAACAATTTAACAACCCATAGTTAAATTATAAACCTAAAACACATGCATACATTAATACATATATACATATGTATGTAAGTACAATATATACTTTTGTTTCCTTTAATTTACTCTCTCTCTCACTCTAATTAAACAATTATCCTTTCAGTCGTAGTTGTAATTTATGCGTGTGAATTGTTTGTTTTATTTTTTTTTACTATTTAAGAAAGAAAAAACAACCAAAACAATTTTCTTCTTAATAGTTTATTTCTGTAAATACCTACAAAAAACAAACATAATATTAAAATATATTTATATAAAATAAAAAAATGATAAAAATAAACAAATACATACAAACAACAAACAAATTATACAAAACAATTAAAAAAAGAAACTACAAAAACCACAACAAACCTATGTTAACTTAAAATAATTTTAATTTCTTTTAAAACAAATTTCTAATTAAGTCTTATTTAACTAACAAACACTAATCTCTATATTGCTTAATATTGTTTAGTTTTAGTTTTATTTTTTTTGTAACATTTATTAGCCAAACAGATAGAAATGAAAGAAATTGTGTATAAATTATATAAATGTAAATATTGGTAATTGAAAAGTTATCCAGCTGGATAGACGAAAAGTTGTTAATAAGTACTTCGTTTACATTAATTTAAATACATAATTGAGCTAATGATTTGTACGAAATGAAACTGTTTTTTATAGAAACTTAAAGATTATATGTACAATTGTATGATATTCTTTCCATCTCTTTAAAACAAACTGTGTATAAACAGAAGGAAGGTTGTGCAGGATTGTCTTTTAATTATATTTTCCTTTAAACAAATTTTTTACAACACAGTTTCCTATAACATTTTACATTTTATTTTATTTGAAATATGTGTTTCACTACTAAAACTGTTTAAATTGGCTTGATGGTTTAAATTAAATTCTGTTATACCCGTAATTTCAACAAATACATATCTATCAGTCCCTAGGTACTGAGTTGAAATACATGCCAACTTACATCAGAGCTAAAGATACCTAATATATATTTTATATAATAGATACATATCTATTTGTTGAGATTACTGACATTAATTATCTAGAAAATTGAGAAATTGAAACTTGAATTGAAAATCTTTCAAAAAAAAAAAAAGAATCCTTTTGTCGAATTATGTTTTAACATGACACAGGCCAGTAAACTTTTAACCCAGCCATCAGTGTACATATAATATTCTAAAAGATTAAGGTGCACTGAATCCAAATTTTAAATCACATTAAGTTTGCAAGATATAAGAACTGGAATTTTGAAAATAATCCATTCTTCGTAATATTCAAGGCAGCGTGAAGTCACCAGGCTATATTTGTCTGTTATATCCTGTTGTTGTAACAGTTCGACTATTTTCCTGGGAACAAACTTTAGATTGGTACAGCTCTCGCTAAGTTGACAATCTTTGTCGTATCGTTCCGGAGTGAAAATTCATGTTTCGTACGAATGTGTGAAATATATCCATATCTCTCCTATTAGCTGAGATATCGTACGTTGAAGTTTTATTATGTATTTACAGTTTCTTCTTCAAACGTAAGGTTAACATATTTCATAGAAAAAACAAGATATCATAGAGATAAAACCTTCATATTGAAGACAATAGTTAGGACTTTCCGAAAACAAAACAAATTTTAAAAATAAAGAGTACTTCACGCTGTTATAACGTCTCGATTATTCGAAAAAGGTCGTTTTGAACAATTAGCCTAAGATATCTCGAAAATAAGTTCAGATTCGGATTCAGCGCACTTTAAAAGATTAAAAAAGTTGCTCAGTCCCTGGGTTTCGATATTTTATATCTTGTTGAACGGTCATTTTGAACAATTAGCCTGAGATATCTCGAAAATAAGTTCATATTCAGATTCAGCGCAGTTCAAACTATTAGAAAAGTTACTCTAGTCCCTGGGTTTCTTTTATATCTTTTTTTTATATCTTCTTGTCCTGTGTTATTGTCCAATAGAATGTTCGTGGTGGGTTACAAAGCTTAGCATAAAGTAAAGTTCTCTATTGGGCAAAATTTTTAATAAAACAAGCCAGATTTTTACTTTTGTTTTGAATAACGCTTTATTTTATTTAAACAAAAAGGAATGGAAAGGTATATTTCGACAATAATTGCACAAAGTTCGAGTTTGTCCAAGTCCAAAATATTAATCTACATCCCATCACATTTCATATCTATTAACTGCTTATTGATGAAAGAAGAAATATCTGGGACAGTTAAAGTAAAATGTTAAACCATATATTTACCATACTTCCTACGAAGGCCGTTAATTAAGAAACAAAGGACAGTCACACATACAAAAGCTTTAACAATTGAAAGTTGTCTATTTACTTTCGATCGGAATGTATTATTATGCCAGGCATGATAAAATCATTATACAAATTATTCAAAATCCAAATTTCTTCAATTTCTCAAACTGAAAAAAGGACAAAAATTAAGCCAATTGTTTATAATTTTATTAAATGAAACTAAAACTAAAAACAATATAATAATATTTCATAAATGTAATAATTTTGAAGTAGTAAATATAATAGACATACAAATTATACACAAAAATATTTGTCATGCAAGTTTACAAGAATTACAAGAAAATTTCAGAATTTTTCAAATAAGAGTTTTAGAAAACTTTAAATGAAAACGAAAACAAAACAGTTTATGGTATCAATGTACCAAATTATCAACCCAGACACTCCTCCAACAAACCCCCCCCAACCCCCGATTGATCTCAATGTTATGTGATAATGTCGCAACGCTTAAAGTAGTTGCGTCGCTTACTACTAAAGCAGTTCTATTTTTTTAATAGTTTTTTTTTGTTTTGTTTAAATAGTTAGTCAAACTACGGTAAATAAAGCAAATAAAGTGTGTTGTTGTTATTATTATAATTTATTTTTGTTTACAATTTTAATTATTATTTAAATTAATTAAATAAATATAATTTTATAGGCCCCCTCCATTGATTCCCTCAATAATTTTTATTGCTGTACACAAACAACAACTACTGTGAAAAGTTTTCTTTTGTTTTTTTTTATTTAAATAAAAATTCTGTTATAATTTTATTTTAATTCTTGTAAACAAAAGTATGGAAATGTTTTAAACACTTAACTATCCCCCTCTTAAATACACTAACACAACTTTAATTGCAAATAATACAAAATAATTAGTAAAAACTTAAAATAAAATAAAAATTGTATATCCACTGACAGTCACAATACACACACACATAAAACTACATACATAATAAGTAGATGATAAATAATTAAATAAAAAAAACGTAAATATTTAAGAAAACTTAATAAAAGAAAGTAAAAATACCTAAATAAAACAAGTTGAACATACTATTAAATATTATTATTATTATTTAAATAGAATTGTATCTAGAAAAAAAATAGTAAAGCAACAACAAACATAACAATAACAACAATATGATTATGTTTAACTTAACTATTATACTTACATAAAAAAAAACAAAAATAAATCATAAACTATGTAAATTCAACTAAAAATAAAATCAACAAAAACAACTACAATTTAATGTGATTGTAAAACAACAAAAACTAAACAAAAAATAAATCAAAATTCATTCTAAATCATATAAAAATATATAAACAAAAACAAAAAACTATTAAAACAATCGTTTGTTTTAATTTGTTCTTTTTTTACTTAAATGAACTTTAAGCACTGATTTATACACACATCTAAAATTATTCTACTTTTTATTGTACTTTAAAAACGAAATTGTTTTTGTATTAAAATTATTATTCTAATTTTTTATTATTACTTTATTAACCAACTACAACACTTACATATACATATATATATTTTTTTTGTTTTTGGCATTAACACTTAAAAAAAATTATATTTTACATCTATGAAACTTATTTGATAAATTGATTTTAAATCTGAATGAATGAATAAATAAATCGTTAACAATTATTAAGTTTAACATTAAAGCATAAATATAAAACAAATCTTCTTTTATTTACTTCCAATTTAAAATAGTGGGTGGGTTTTAGTGAACTGTTGTATCAATGGTTAGGTTAGGCTAAAGAGACAGTCAGCCAAAAGAAAGCTGATTCACATGGGTCCATCAATAGGACTCGACTTACGACCACGACTGTCATTCCCCGACCGGAATGACCCGAATTAAACGGCCAAGGACTATTAACCCCAGCCATAACAACAATACGACCATGTAGACAAATTAATGAGTCGATTACGTATGGCAACCGAATTTCTGTTGATGCCAACTAATAAAGCACAACAATGGCTTCAGTCTGGAAATGGCTCAAGTCAAGCAAAAACATTAAACATTCATCTATCTATATAAATAAATAAATCAATTGTCGTTCGTTGGTAATTGCATCAGTTGAGAACGGCTAGACCGATTTGGACAATTTTTTTACTGAAATGTTCGTCATAGTCCAACTTAGGTTTTTACGGAAAGAAAAATTGACAACGCCCACTTTTACGCACACTTTTTTCGATTTATCTAAAATCGGAAAACGGCTGCACCGATTTGGCTAAATTTTTTATTTAAATGGTCGTAGTAATCTAATTTAAGTTCTTACTGAAAGATAAATTTACCACGCCCACTTTTTTCGATTTATCTAAAATCGGAAAACGGCTGCACCGATTTGGCTAATTTTTTTAAAACATGTTCGTAGTAATCAAATTTAAAGTTTTACTGAAAGAATAATTGACCACGCCCACTTTTACGCTCACTTTTTTCGATTTATCTAAAATCACAAATCGAACATAAACATTTTTTCTAATTTGGACAGGACAACGTCTGTCGGGTCAGCTAGTTATTTATAAAGTTTCCAAGTTATTACTTAATTTCATTTTAGCAACCGATGAGGCAACCGAGATACATAATCCACCCATAAGTTACCATGGCGGGAGTCATTACAAATCAACCTGTTGCCCATATAAAAGAATAAATCTTATGAATATCGAGCGAGCTGTTAAATGATTAAGAAAAAGGAAATTGTTCAACCACTATTCGCATCCGCGTTCGTGAAAGCCCCATTATGTAAGATGACCTGCCATTGTCGTGGAAAGGCCAATTCAACCGCAAGATACAACTTCATGTTCGAACTTTGGGCTTTCTCGTTGAGAGATGTCCGACATTCATGAACAAGCCTGGTTGTCGTATAAACGGAGAGAGATTTAATTCCAGGTTTGCTGCCAGTACAACTTCGGATATTTCCCCCTATATGCTATAGTACCTCATTCAGTTTACCACGTTACATTGATTATGCAGTTTCAAAAAAAATTTTCTTTCTAAAACCAGGGATATAGAAACTTCCTTTTACCCCTCTCATAGATTGGCAACCGTCCGTATAGAAAGCGAGTGAGTCATTCCCGATAAGGAGTTGTCTCACTCGTTGTCCTTACATTACATCATTTGTCAGGGAGAAGAAATAGAGAGCTTGGCCAAAATCAGCAAAATCCGTTCATAAACAACGGAGATATAAGCAAAAATCCGAGACAACCTCTGAAAATTGCATAAAAAATAAACAACACTGCTTATTCATTGCCTTTGTATTTTGTTTTTGTTTTTTTGAGTACAAAGAATAAATGTTTCGTATGTTTGGATGGCTGTGTGTTTCATTGCTTTGTGTATATTGTGTTTGTTTTCTTGGTGTATTGAATTTCGTATGTTCCCAGTTGGAAAAATGATCGTAGACGACATTGTCTTCGACGATTCATGCAAGACATTTTCGAATTTGTCCCCTATCGCTGAAGTTGGCTAAACGACAATGTGTAAGAAATCTTCGTTAACGACAAGATTAGCGACAAAGACCTGTTCGTAGTCGTCTTTTAAATCCTATTAAAGACGAGATGAGCGACTGTGTCTTTAATATATTCTTCTATAAACGATGTCAAAGACATGAAGTAAGACAACGCCTTCAAAATAGTCCTGTATCAAACAGAAATAATGAAAAGATGGGCGACAAGGTCTAGAATATTGTCATGTAACTTACTCTGTTGACGACTATATGATCGATAAATTCTTAAGCGTTGTCTTCTGGGCTTTTTTTATGAAGACACCATAGAAGACAATGTCTTTAAAATCGTCATCTATATAAGCTATTGAGAGAATAAA